GTATAGGGCTTAGGGTATAGGGCTTAGGGTATAGGGTTTAGGGTAGAGGGTTTAGGGTAGAGCGTTTAGGGCATAGGGTTTAGGGTTTAGGGAATTCGAGTCTTAAGGGCTCGAAGCTAAGATGGCGCAAGCGACCCAGACCTTCCAAAATCCGTTGAATTCAGGTTCATACCTTGCTTAAGTTATTAGGGTTCAGGGTTTAGAGTGTAGGTTTCAAGGTTTAGGGTTTAAGGTTTCGGTTTCCCACTGTAATTTGAGGTATATTCCTTGATTAGGGGGGATATTGGGGAAGGTCTGGGGGAAACTGCTCCTCGTGCTTCTTGGCCAGGCAGCTCAGGCGCAAACTCAGGTCCTCGTCTGGCAAAGGGTCTTATGCCCTAAACCCTGAAGCCGACATGGGAGATGGGGTCGAGGTTTGCTCCAAAGATCCCACGCTTGCAGCCTGAAATCTGTATACACTGATAACACTGATAAGCCTAAAACCGCAATCCTATCCTTCCTCACCTCTGACACAGCCTGAACCACCAGGGAGCATGGTCTAGTGTACAGTGATCCAATGTATCCGGGCAAACAGAGACGCCACATATTTCTCCAGGATTTTGCACTTGGAGCGGCGGTTCGGTTCGCTTGCTTCGCAACTTCCCGAAACCCTAGACCCTAAACCCTAAACCCTAGACCCTAAACCCTAAACCGTAAACCCTAAACCTCAAACCCTAAGCCTTAAACAGTAAGGTCCCCAAACCCGACCTTGAACACCCGTAAGATATCCCCCCCGCCCCGCTCTGCCTGGATGAGGGTCCAGTCTGGCAGCCTAGTCAAAGCTGGCTTCAGGGTCTTCCGAGTTAGGGCTTGAAGGATTTAGGTTTTGGGGTGCAAGTTGAGTTTCGCGGCTTGCTACGGTTGCATACAGGCCGAGCTAGCTCGAAAAACTAGAAAAAGGTTTTGGAGCTCTTCGGAAACCCCTAGGCACTGAACCTTCGAGCCCAAACTGCTGAAACCCACAACAATATGTATCTTTGGTGCCATCACGATGAAACAGAGTACGGCTTTTTCCTTCAAACCCTTATCATCCTCCACCCGAGTACATATACTCAACAAATTATGCAACAACCTTTTGGGGTATCTTCCACCATAGTCATAACTGGCTTCTACATCTAGGTTCCTCCGTACCCCCTTAGTCATGAAGGTGCCCTCGTCGGTTCTGATAAGGAGACCTCAAAACAAAAAAGGGCAAAGGGGTAGTACTAGGAGACATAGATGGGTAGATCTCTAAATAGGGTCCCTTTTTAGGTCCCCAATATAGTACGGCACCCTTATGAAACGGATCCTAAAAGGGACTCCAATTTAGAGAACTACTCAGAAATATTCTAATAAAGCGCACGAGCTTCTCAAGTCAGTCTGGCCTCGCCGATCGGAAGGCTTCGTACGCCGAGAAGTACAGCAGCTGCACGCCTTTATGGGTTACAGCTTTTGGCTTCATGTTTCTGGTTTACCCTAACCCTCCAGGTACCTACTATCGAGGGTACTAGAGCCCCCAGGGCCCTATATATCAAGTACCTGGAGTGTTAGGGTTAGATTTAGGTCACAGGTATAGGGCTGCAGTCGGAGATTGAAGCGCTTGGTGAAAGACCTGCGCTGCGGTGGGAGCTGCTGCATTCAGGGTTTCCCAGAGAGCCCAATACCCCTTAATTAAGGAATATACCCTAAATTCATAAGATTAAGGCCCCTATAATTTAAGGTATATTCCTTTTTTACGGGGTATTGGGCTCTCTGGGTTTCGGGCTGCAAAGTCTCCGGGTAGAAAATCGTGGTTACAGCTTCTGGTTTAGGGCTGAGCTTTCAGGTATCGGGTTGAGTCAGAAATTGAAAAACGCCTCATGAAAGTTCAGGCTAGTCTAAGAGGCCCTAAACCCCTTAAACCCCTTAAACCCCTTAAACCCCTACACCCTGAACCCCTAAACCCCGAAACCCTTAGGGGCTTAGCGTTGAGCGCTGAGGGTTTAGAGGGTCCTTGGCAGTCCTTTCGGCCTTCGGCGTCTCAGAACCCTCATGTACAGAACCCAATACCCCTTAATTAAGGAATATACCTCAAATTATAAGGGCCTTAATATTATGATTTAAGGTATATTCCCTTAATTAAGGGATACCGGGTTCTCTGGGCATGCAGGGCCTTACTACTTCTGATGACAAAAAGTCCTTAGCACTACCTTATCAGGACCCTATACTATGGGAATTGTGGTCTATTCCTTATTTTGTGGGTAATGCAGGATTTAGATCATCAACCGTTATTAGAATAGGGTTTTGGGGGGGCTCCTTATTGTAGCTATAATATGATATACCCCCCAAACCCTCTTCTAGTTATTAAGGCCCCCACATTATACTAGACTTGCTCGACTGGGGCACCCTTAGAACCATAATATCAATAGTAGCTTTAATTTTCCTTTTGGGCCTTACTTTAACAGCAAAGGCAGACTTCCTAAGAACACTCAAGCATACCTCTCCCAAATAGATCGCAAGAGAGGGGCTCATGAAGCCCCTAACCACTGACTCTCAACCTTTAAATGGTAGGGTTTAGGGCTTAGGGTTTAGGGTTTAGGGTTTGGGGTTCAGGGCTTGGGGTTTAGGGTTTGCCAAGAACCCTAGAAACCCAACACCCCCCCTCTGCAAAAAGACGCGTTTTCAGCCCGAGCGCCTCGGGCATCGACGGTCCATCGATCTACTCGGACCTGGGCGTAATCCGAAAGGAAGACGGGTTCAAGACCAGCCAGACGCAACAGACCACTGCTATGTAAGACCAATTTTTAGTAGCGCTGGGCTGGTAGTGCTATTTTTTACATCGTTTGAATGTAATCAGTGTAGTCTGAGGAATGTCCAGGGGGTCGATGTCACGAACTTAGCTGCAAAAAGTATGATGACCACGCTGGTACTGCAGCTGGTGGTGCTGATGATGGTTATGGTGAAAGAGGCGACAATGATGGAGATAACGAAGGCAATAACCAGGAACAGTGCAGATGACAACAGCTCACGGATTTTATGTTGAGGCCATCATGCTTCGAATATGATCTTGGGGTGTCTTTCTTTCTGCGAGGTGAAGCGTCCAGTATGAACGCACCTAAAGCAAGAAACGAATTCAGGTGAAACGCAAGAAAAGAGTCCGCTTGTGCTCTGGAACGTCGGCACAGGTATGGATCCATTGCCCAAGTTCTCCGGCAGTATCAGTGGAGAATGCGAAGAACAAGTGGCATCTGCGGCCAGCTGACGCAAGCCTAAGGGCTACTCGAAGCCACTCGAGACAACGACTCAACCAGACATGATGAGCTCGCTGGCTGCGCAGGGAACAGGAACCGGTATACCAGAAGGACGTACATGGGCACGGCGGAGCAGGAAAACACATGATGGCACATGCGAAATCCAATGAGTGGTGAGGGGGGCGTCGAAACGGGAACGAACGCCAACCGCCACCAGGAGTCGCCGCAGAGACAGCCGAGGCCTGCAACTCGGGAAAATCCACAAGGAGGCCAGCAAGACCAGCTGGGCGGGGCTGCCAACAAAGGGGCACGAGATCCGGCAGGAAGGGCTCATCAGCCAGGTTACGCCCCTGACTCGCGACCTGATCACACAACCAAAAGGGTGTAAAGCAGAGCAGAAGGTCAGACACCGCATCGAGCTGTGCCGAAGGACCTAGCTCGGACGCCCACATTTGCAGGGTTGCGCGCAGAGTGGGAAAAGGCTCAACAAAGGTTCGAACAATATCAAGAATCGCCGAATCCTCGCCGGGCCCATGGGCGCGCAACTCCGCCAACAGAGCCCAAGACACATCTACCTGGGCCTCGGGGAGGTGAGCACAGCCCCTGCCAGCAACAGCACGCGACTCGACGTGTCCTCCAGCAGTCTCGAGGACCGGCAGGAGCGAGGCATCACTTCGCTCCAGCGACTGCAGACACCGCGGATGTAGATTCAGGTGTTGCCGAAGGCGACGCAGGCACGCAAATTCGGCACCACATGCCTGGCAGCGCCGCCCACGGGCAAGCCTAACTGCCTTAGTCCGATAACCGTGCTGAAGCGCCGCATGTGAAGCCCAGGTCTGGTGGCATGTAAAGGCGCGGCTGCATAGAAGGCACGCGTGTACATGATCGCCCACTGCATCGGGTGCCTTGGGGGCCGGGTACCACGCAAACCGACAAAAGGACACATAGGCAACGCGACTGCGACGAGCGCCCTGATGCCACGCAAGCCCGCGCTTGATCAGACCCTTCCACCGCTTGGCCTTGGAACTGGCAAGGCCTAGCCAGGCCTGACAGTCTACTTCCACAGAAGGAAGGTCGCATGTCGCGGAGACGGCAGCAGACAGCCACTGAAGAGCCCCCCGAAACCCGGCAACTGCTGAGGGGTCATGCTGCAGGAGCGCCCAGGCCGCATCCGGTCCTCCACGTAGGAGCTGACCCAGAAAACGCAAGCGCTCCGCCTCAATCGAGTCAGTAGGTGAGGGAGCGTTGCAAGCCACGAAAATGGCTTCACGAGACCAGTGCTGGTCGCAACCCGGCCGAATCCGAAGAAGCTGCCGATACATCGCGGTAACACCTTGCTCGAAAACATGCCATGCTTCTTTGCCCAACTCAGGCCACGCGCCAACACCCGAAAGCAGAGCAGACATGACATGTACCTGAAACAAGGTCACACGCCTTGCTAAGGCCACCTGCACACAACAGAACACTTTGCGACGCCCTTCCCCCAGTGTAGCACGGGCGACTGCCAAACGGCTACGGACTTCGGGGAGAAGCGACCCTGTGTGAGTGAGCAAAGTTCCAAGGTGGCGGTACTGCGGGACGGCATCAAGCATAATCGGCGGATTGTTTTCCCGAAGTACGTGAAGACGGCCCTTGCCCCTTCCGAATACTTGGTCTCTGGCGAGACGTGCACCAACCCCTCTGTGCACCATCAGAGAGGCGGTTTTGCGCGGCCCGATATTAGCGGCAAGACCATGGCCGGAGACAGAATCCAGCGTGCGCCCCGCGGAATTGCGCACAGCCTGACCTAATCCAGCGGCGCTGGGGGAGGTGACACAGGACGCATGATCATCCGCGTAGATGATATCCTCGACACGAACACAAGGCGGATCCGTAAGCTCACCATGGCGAAAAAGACGAAGCTCACGGATGCCCGTCCACGGAATCAGGGGGACATTGCAATCGTCAGCAGGGGCACGCCGTGCCAAGACCCTCTGGAAAGGAGGCTAAAGACGGTGTCAGCGAGGCAGCCGCCCGGTCTGGTCCCTCTCGCTGTGCGCACAAGACACGGGTCACCGCTGAGATGAAACCACGTGTCCGAGTGTAACTCAAGCGTCAGGGCCCGAAGGAAAGCAGAGGAGTCAGGGCCGGCAAGAGCTGGGTAGTCACGAGCATACGCTTCCAGCTCTTGCATGTCACCTGCCGCAAGGCCAAGTGAGGCGGCCACGTCTTTCACAGAGGCGTCGGAGCCTGCCAGTCCCGTCACCGCCTCTCTGACTACCGAGTAATAGGCCGCAACAAGGTCTGTGAAGACAATGCCCGCAGAGACACCGCGGAATTTGGCATAGCCCAGGAAACATCGCGATATGAACGAGCCAAACATGTAGGTCCGACCAGGGCGACCCCCAATTTGCAGTGCTGGAGCCCGGGCTTCGACAAGCTGTGCTGGGAAGGGGCGACACACACGGTGGAGGACTTTGCTGAAGGTGGACTGGACCAAGATTCCCCTTTGTGCAGCCGCCACATCCCGCACGGAAGGGTTGGGTTTAGGTATATGGTGCAATACCCCTCCCTTCAGCGGGAGCGGCTCGGACAGATGGACGAAGGTCTTCAGGATAACTGGCCAGAAGTGCTCCGAGAGTCGAAACGCGAACCGCTTGCAAATGCTGGGCGGAATAAAATCCGGCCCAGCTGCCTTCTGGGCCTTGACCTTCTGAAAGGCAGACAGAACGCTGGAGAACTCCGGGAGAGCGTCACAAGAGAGAGCTGGAAAGCCCTCCATTGACCTCTGTCTGGCCAAACCCTCCCGCACGAAATCCTCTACTTCCATGGTGGTGCCTCCTTCTAGGTCAGAAAAATGTCTCCTCCATTCGTCTGCAATTTCCGCAGGCGTCTGACAGTACTGACCGTTGGGCTGCCTGAGCCGGGGTAGAGGTTCCGGCCCGGAACGTCGAAATTTCTTGGGACGCAGGACACGACGTAGGGCCTTGTGGACGGACGAAGGGTCTGCTTCATCCACTTCCATGGCTAACTGGTTCAGGTGCGCTGCTCTGTCACGGCGACACAAGCGCCGTATTTCACGGCCCTTCGTATTCACCGCCAGAGTAAGGCGGCCAATCGCCACACGGAGATGCCATATCCAACGGCCCCGGAAGACGTCGTAAAAAGACAACTGCTGCCTCCAAGCATCAAAAGCACACCGGAGATAGCAACGACGCAGCTCCGACATACGCCATCGAAGAGCGTGCCTGTAGCCCGCAAGTACCGCATGGACCTCAGCAGTCTCCTCGGACAGGAAGCCCTGGCGCATCCGCCGCCGCTGTCTGGGGAACTTCCGGGACAGTCCCTGGTACAGTGCATCGGTCAAGTACGAAATATGATCATTGACGTTGACATCCCACGGCACCCTCGGGAGGCTCGCGAGGATTTCATTAACGGCATCCTCGTTGCACGGAAGCAGCAATGCATCGCAATCAATGCGACCGCAGAACCGCGTATCCTTGTCCTGAGCAATTGTAAGGGCAACCTGCACCACGACAGCATAGTGATCGGGGACCGCATGGCCTGCGTGTATGGTGTCAGACACGTAGCCATGCGTGACGCAGTCGCGCCAGCCCAATGGCAGGACGACATAGTCCCGCCGCACAAGGGCATTGGATCTTTTTTGGACAAGAGTGCCTGTCGGACCCGAAAAAGAATCGGCAAAGGTGTTAGGCACCCAACCCCCACACGCCCGTAACAGACGATGCATAGCGTCGCTGGCTTCGTCTTCGTCCTCAGCAGAAAGGTCACCCACGTGACAAGACGTCACGGAGCCTAGGGGACAATTGCCATCCACAAGCCAGATCCAGTCTAGTGATGCACCAGCTGCCAGGCATAGATCCGAAGTCTCTTTCCACCACGCGAGGCGGGCCTCAGACGGATGTCCGCGGTGGAGGCCATGCCCTGCGAAGACACCCAGGTGTAGACCTGAGAACGAGAGTCGGAGTAACAAACGAGTGGGTGAGGCATGAAGGACGACGGCTTTGTGGTCCGGACAACCGTCATAGGTACCTACCCAGATCTCGATCCCAAAAGCGCGTTTATCAAGACATCCCGAGCAATACCTGCGGAAATGCTGCGAGTTGAGCCGTCCTTCGGGGGTGCGCGTTTCCTGTAGCCCGGCTACATAGACCCCAGCAGAGTGTAGGCTGCGATCAAGTAACGCCACACGTCCGACCTGGCCATAAACTCCAGAAGAGAAGCCATGATCCTCGCCTGGGGAGGCAATAGACAACACATTGAAGGATGCGAAAGCCAGGGTCAGAGTGACAGTGGACTTTCCAGGCTTAGGTTCGGCAGGGAAAGAGCGGGTGAAGGGCCGCATGATCTGCTGGGCACTCAGAACTGCAGCGGGTTCTGCCAGTTCCCAACGCATAAACCCAGACGTCGTAACAGGCCCCTGCTGAGGACGAGCAAGGCTCCAACAGAGGTGTGGGAGCCAACGAAAGGCACTGCCATTCTGAGCGAACCACAAGGGCAGGTCCAAAGAGAATACACTTGGCATGACACTCTCGCTGCCTTTGCTGGCCGCAGCGTCGGCAAGCTCATTCGCAACGTCCCCGGAATGGCCACGTACATGCTGATGGCTGACTCTATGCGGGAAGCGCAGCGAGAGTGCGAGGTGCAAGTTCTGGCATGCCGCAACAGTTGGATGTCCAGGAGCAACATGGCTCCCAGCGGCAATGCCAAGAGCTGCTTCATTGTCGCACCTAAATACAAAATGTCCTGAGAAAGGAATTTGGAAGGCCGCCACGGCCGCCCAAAAGAGACCTACTATCTCTGCGCCAAAAGCATTCACATCTGTGTCGCCCCCTCCCAAACGCCAGAGCTCGGTAGCATCAGAGGCGGCATATCCTAGAAATACACCTGGCAGATCCGGACAAGAGGGGGAGAGCGCAGATATGACAAGGCCCCATCCGGCCTTCCCACTCGCTTCTGCGTATGATCCATCCGACGTGAAACACAAAGCCGAGACATCAGCAGGAAGCGGGAGCTGGCCTCCGGAAGAACACCACTCAGAAAAACGATCAGGGGCAGGCAACCCCGCGATCTCCCGCGGTAGACTGCACATCGGCGTGAAGCGACTGAGATCTCGCCAATGTACCTCTGTCACGGGCAATGCACAGCTGCCCCGGTCGAGGGAAAACCAAGACACGCTGGCATCAGGTAGGGTGCCAGTCGGATCGTGGGGAGGGTCCAACAGCTGTGACAAGATGAGCTGACATGGCATATCCGTGTCGGGGTCATCAAGGGCAAAATGAACCGGCTCCGCCTTGTCCGCGGTCGGCTCCGCCTCCTGTGGAAACCCAAAATGCTCGTAAAGAGTCTCGACCAGTGCGACGGTGTCAAAGAAAGCTGTGCAGGATCCCATGCGCGCACTCTGTTCAAGAAGGGTAACGAGCTCGGGTTCCTCTGGTGGGATAACAGCGATTGCATCCTTGAAACCATCAGGCCGACTATGCGGGGCTAAAAAGGCAGCCCGACATGGAGTAGGGGTTCCTCGAAAACCAGAGCACTTGCCTGAGGCTTCGCCAACAGCAATGTGGGACGCTGCAGGAAAGGTGTGCGTGTAGGGAGGAAGCTGGACTGCCGTGACAGCCGGCAGATGCGCAAGGCTAAAGACCACGGCAACAATTAATGACACATCGCTGCAGCCTGCACGCACGCAGGAAGTAGAGAATGAGGATGAGTTCCCCTGGGCCACCTAGTATCCCAGCGCAGAGCAAGAGGCCTAGGCGCAGCAAAGCGGTGGCAAGAGGATCAAAAGGAAAGGGTCTGTGCACATGGCTGATCGACCTGGGCGAGTGCGAAGAAAACAGAGATCCCGCACCGGCGGCCCCCCTATTTTCGCCGTCAGACGTCCGAGGTGCATCCTCGAGCCCAGCCGGCCCTCCGCTAGGAGCGGAACCATGCGGGGCATCGTCGCCATCCTGGCCGCCTTCTGCCGGGTCGCCTTGTGCCGCGGTAGCCTGCCGGGCTTCAGGTGTGGCAATCACCTGCACAGTAAGCACGTCACCTGCCTGCACAAACACGGTACCAGAGTCATCTGCATGCCTCCGGGTGCCTCCTATGACCTCAACCTGATGACCTCCTGCCTCCGGCCTGGCGCATTGAGCCTGAATGAGGGTGATCGAGACAGCCCCGTCCGGCGTGATCGCCCACGTAATTCCACACAGGATGGCACGCATGTCCAGAAAGTACACTATCCCGGGATCGGGAGCACGCACAAGTCCATCTCGTGTATATACAGCCACATTCCAGGTAAGCCGCCCTTCGTCCGCAAAGTTGTCCAGTGGGGGCGAGGCTAGCTGGAAAAGGGCATGTGCGGTAGGTGGGCCGAAGGCCGAAGCGACGGCCTGAGCAACCGTTGCCTCATCCGACGCATCAATCTGCAAGCAGCAAGGTCCCGAGTCAGTAAGGACGTACAGCCATTCCTCCGGAGCACAGGGTAACGGAGCATCAGTACTCCAAGCTTGGCAATGCAACAGCATCTCAGCAAGCGACAAAGGAACAGGCCTAAACCCGGACGCAGGGACAAAGGTTACACAGCTGCCCGTGAAGAGCCTACAGGGCTCGAAATCATTCATAGGCATGTCTTGATCCGGCACATAGACTTCGAGGTCGTCCGTAGGAGGTAAGCCGGACGCAGCGAGCAGGGATGCTCTTGTCATGACGGGAGAGGCAAGCCAACAAAACATAGTTCCATTGACGAGC